AAAAAAAAAAATAAATAAATAAATAAATAAATAAATAAATAAATAAACTCAGAGCTGCCAAGCACAAAGCCTGAGCTACCTGGTCGGCTGGTAATAAAGGATTCTTAAGTTGTTCTTTTAAAAATATTTTTTATTATATGTGTAGAAGTGTTTTACCTGTATGTATGTATGTGTACCGTGAGTGTGCACCACCCTAATAAGGCAGGAGGGGACACTGGATCCCCTGGAACTGGAGTTACAGGTGGTCGTGAGCCATCATGTGGATGTCAGGAAGGGAACCCAGGTCCCCTGCAAGAGTAATTCAGAACTCTTAACTGCTGAGCAATCTCCCCAGTGACTTCTTTTTCCTCTTACACAATGTATGAATGTATTTATTTACATCCACGTGTGAGTGTGTGTGCCATGGCATGCATGTGGAGGTCAGAAGACAACTGAGATGAATCTGTTCTCTCCATCCTCTCTGTGGGTCCTAGGGATTAAACTCAGATCACCGGGTTTAGCTCCAAAAGTGTCTTTACCCTCTGAGCCATCTTTCTGATCATCTTTCTATCTCAAGTGAGTCAGCTATTGAAAGATTTAAAAGGAAGTGCCACATATACCCTTAGTCAGGTTTTTATTGCTGTGAAGAGGCACCATGACCACAGCAACGCTTATAAAGAAAACATTTAACTGGGGTGGCTTGCTGATAGTATCAGAGGTTTAGTCCATTATCATCATGGTGGGGAGCGTGGCGGTGTGCAGGCAGACATGGTGCTGGAGCTGAGAGTGCTACATCTTGCAGGCAACAGGAAGTCGACTGACTGCCACACTGAGTGAAGCTTGAGAAAAAGACCTCAAAGCCCGCCCCCATAGTGACACACTTCCTTCAACAAGACCACACCTACTCCACCAAGGCCACACCTCCTAATAGTGCCACTCCCTCTGGAGGCCTTTTTCTTTCAAACCACCAGTCTGAAAGGCTGCATAAAGAATGACCATTTCCACGACATCCTGGAGAAGGCACAGCTGCAGGGTTTGTAAGGAGGTTGTAGCTGTTTAGTACTTATGGAAGACTGGTGAGTGTAATAGAAGGGAGCCTGTTTTAGTATTGTGAGACTTCCACTGTAATCTATAATCAGAGAATCAATTAACTATTAAAAAGCAGCGTTCCTCTGCAACCAGTTAAACTCATCAGGTTCCTTTTCTCGGGGGACCTGGTGTGCAGTGGCTGCCGGCAGCAGTCCCCTTGGGAATGCACGCAGCCTGTTGCTTGTATGGATTCCCTAAGGAACCCTGAAGACCATTTCTGGTGGATACTCCTGTCTCTGTTCTCATACTTTCTCTGGTTTAGGCTCCAGACAGGTAAGTGGGATGCCTTTGGAAGCCCAAGGCACAGTGGCCGAGTTTAGGTTCCCTGGCCAACTGACCGAAGAGTCCCATTTCAAAGGAGTGGGCTTCACCTAGTGTGATGCTCAGTACACTAGTTTAGTGTGGTGGTTTGAATAAGAATGGCCCCCATAGGCTCGTATATTTGAATGTTTAGTCACTGGGGAATAGAACTTTTTGATAGCATTAAAAGAATTAGGAGGTGTGGCCTTTTGGAGGAAGTGTGTCCCTGGGGGTGGGCTTTGAGGTTTTCAAAAGCTCACAGCCAGCCCAGTGTTTTTCTTTTTCTTTCTCTTAGCCTGTGGACCAAATGTAGCTTCCTACTGCTTCTCCAGCACCTGCCTGCCATGCCCGCCATGCTCCCCGACCTGATGATAATGAACTGAGCCTCTGAAGCTGTAAGCCAGCCCCAATTAAATATGCTGGCTTCTGTAAGAGTCGCCTTGGTCATGGTGTCTCTTCACAGCAGCAGAACAGTGACTAAAACACCAAGAAATTGCTCATCCTGAATGGAACTGGATCAAATATATCCCTAAACATGGTCCCCTCTAGTGGTGGGCCCTACACTTCTAAAGGCTTCCACTGTACCTAATCCTGCCTGTAACACAAATCTGTAATGGGCTTTTTAATTAAAAACCCAGAGCCAGATATTGGGGTAAAAACTGAAAGATCAGAGAGACAGTAGCAAGCCACTAGTTCTTACTCCTACGGAAATCCTCCGCCAAAAGAGAGCGAGCACCTCTCTCCAACCCATCTTATCACTTCCTCTCTGCGCCCAGCTCTATCACTTCCTGTCTGTCTGTACAGACCTACAGACCTCTATGGTTAACCAGAGGCTAGCTCCTCCTTCTGATTTTCAGGCAAGCTTTATTTGTTAGAGCACAAATAAAATATCACCATACCTGCCTCTCCCCGATTATATTTATGAGTCACTCTTCCATTCAGACTAAAGATTTAAAAAGTTAAAAGCAGTGTTCTTTAAAGATTTTCAACAATATAAAAGTAATATAGGAAAGTGCACCAGGCGGTGGTGGTACATGCCTTTAATGCCTGCACTCAGGAGGCAGAGGCAGGAGGATCTCTGTTCCAGGACAGCCAAGGCTACACAGAGAAACCCTGTCTTGAAAAAAATTTTTTTAAAGTGCTATTTTTAGTATCACTATAATACTATAAAAATATTCACTGTCTTGGAAGAAAATAGACCCTTATTTACATGTGCTTTTCTGTTAGTTTAGAATAAAGATTCTCAGATACTTATAAATAAATAAGTGTGCATGTTTTTTTAACATTGCATACGTATGCAATTTATTTAAACAAAACCAAATTTAAACTCAGGAGCAATATACACCCTGCTGTTGTAAGCAAAGACAGAGTTCACTACACACTTAAATTCAGGTCCTTTCTGGTTGGGGTACTTGACCTGATTGGGAAGAATGATGAAAGAAAAACCAGAGGGAGGAGGGAGGAGAGAGGGAGGGGGAAGGGGAGCGGTATGAGCGGATCAGATTTGGGAATCTACTGTGGATTAAGTCTAAAAATGATTGGTGAGTTAAACCTCAGTTCACTTCCCCAACCCTGTCTTTGAGGGCCTGTTTGATTCAGTCAGTCATTTGTCTGGTACTTTTAATTATTCCTTTTTTGTACAGGTGTCTTTTGCTGAAACTATAATATTGAATGTGCATAATATAATTGATCATAGAAGTGCATGCCATGTTAGCCCCCCAGCAACCACGCCTCCCACTAATGGAGACAGCCACACCTTCCCACTGTGAGTGCCTTTTGCCAATTGGTGCTTCCTGTGGCCTTCAGGATCACTATTTCATAGATGTCTAACATACGCACAGTGTTTGTGCTAGGCACTTCGCACCACTGTAACCAAAACCCGACGTAATCAACTTATAAGGAATTCCTAGACAGTTTTGGAGATTTTAGGCCGGGGTTGGCTGGCTCCATTGCTTTTAGGCCTTCGGTGAGCAGCTTATTGTGACTGGGACATGTGGTGGATAAAGAGGTGTCGAAAAGCAAAAGAAAGATCAGAAGGAAGAGACCAGGGTCCCACAACCTCCTAATCCCAGACGACGTCCACTGGGCTTCTAAAGCCTCCACTGACTGCAAGTGCGGTGAGTGAGGACCAACCTTGGTGGTCTAGTTCCGTTCCTGCTGCTGTGACAAAAACAATCTGGGGAGACAGGGTTTACTTTAGCTCACAGTTTTCAGGTTACAGCCCATCACTGCAGTGGCGTCAAGGCATCAAGCACTAAAAACAGCTGGTTACGTCACTATGGTTACGTCCGTAGTGAAGCAGAAAGAGAAATACCTGCATGCTGGCTTGCTGCGTCTTGCTTGAGGCTTGTGCTTAGCTCCACTTTATGCAGCCCAGGACCCCCAGCCTAGGGAATGCTGCCACTCATAGTGGGATTTGTCTTCCCGCTTTGGTTAACGTAATTAAGACAATCCCCCAGAGACATGCCCATAGACCAACTCAGTGTAGATGAGTTCTCATTGAGACTCTCTCTTCCCAGGTGGTCTCTAAGTTGTGTCAGGGTGACAAGTGAAAATGACTACCACACATGGATAGTCAAAAATTCAAATATTCATTTAACAGTAACATAACAATTCAAAGCCACGATCTATAGTATGCCACGACACCAGAGGAGGAGACACAGTATTAGGGCCGGACTTAATAGTCAAAGTGCATCATTTCCTGTCACTCTGTCCCACCTTCTTATGGATGCCATGATGTTTCCCATCTGTGAAATGGAGACCATAATGGCTCTCTGTGCTGGTCGAGATGGTGCCAAGTGAGTCGTTCCTTGTGGCACCCACACCTTTTTCTAATCACCTCCTATACAGATTAGAGTTGATGCAATAAGCATCAGGACACTGTAGAAAGGCAGGAGGTGGTTTCCAAGGCTAGCCCATAACATACCTCAGGGTTCTCACCTTGCTTTTGCTTCATCTTCAAGCATTTGTCTTAAGAAAGTCAACTGCCAGCCGGGCGGTGGTGGCGCACGCCTTTAATCCCAGCACTTGGGAGGCAGAGGCAGGTGGATCTCTGTGAGTTCGAGGCCAGCCTGGGCTACTAAGTGAGTTCCAGGAAAGGCGCAAAGCTAAAAAGAAAAAAGAAAGAAAGAAAGAAAGAAAGAAAGAAAGAAAGAAAGAAAGAAAGAAAGAAAGAAAGAAAGTCAACTGCCAGATCATGAGGACAGTAGCCTCGAGGTGAAAACTAGACAACAACAACAACAACAACAACAACAAAATGAACAAAAAAAACCTGGCTCCTCAGCACAGCAGCAGCCAGTTCCACCTTCCTAGATACGTGCTGCCAAGCCTTCAGGTGACTGCTGTCCCAGACAACATAACAGTTACCTCCAAGACATCCTGAGCCAAGCCCCCTGGGTCAGCTGCTTCTAACCCACCCATAATGTTTGTTTTAAGCCGCTACATTTTGGGGGAAATTTGTTACGCAGCTGTAGCTACCTGGTGCTCTATAATACATGCGATCTTCTTGCTTTCTTTAGCTGCTGATCCAACATATGATGATGGAGAAGGCGGGGTCTTGGGGCCACATTTTTGGGAAAGAGGAGGAATGCTGAAGGCTATAAACAAAAGTATCATTTTGTACATGTAGGGACGTAAGGATGCTCAAGGTGGGAAGATACAGGTTTTGTGTCTGTCGTCAGAAGGAAGCATAGAATGGCTGCTAGAGGGACTGACAGAACACACAGCACTACAAATACACAGTGGGGTATAAGGATCTACACATCTGGCTCTTGTGTTTGTGGATTCCCTGTGATCCAGGGCAGAAGTGATGAAACAGTGTATGGAGAAAGCCCCAGGAAAAAGTTCCGCAGTGGCCTGGCTATCCCAAGACCCTGGCAGGGAAGACATAGTTATGTTGACTACTGAGTCTTTGTGTGACTCCAGGGACTTGGCCTGACTCAGAGCAATGAGGGAGTGAAGAAAAGACAGAAATATGCCATGCGGATGCAGTGGGTTCAGGTGCCCTGGGCTGTCTGATGGAGAAACCACAGCACCTCGTCTCTACAGAGTGTTTATCATCCAGAGTTGAAGAGAGGAGAAGTTATTGCATGCTGCTGAAGGAGGAAGTGGGGTTATTACACAGAGATAAACAAGGAGGCAGAGTTATTATATACAGCTGAATAAGAAGGCAGGGTTATTGCGTATGCATAAATGAGGAGGCAGAGTTACTGTATACAGCTGGATCATGACATTAGCTAATCTCAGAAGGAGCAGTCTCTGTAGGGGAATGGTCTTCAGGCTGTAAAGATCTGAGGGAAGAAAGCTAAAGTGGACATTTTCTGCACACACTATCTATCAGTACCCACATTTGGACCCGGAGGAAGGATTTTCTGTCTTCTCTGAAGCTCACCCCAGGAGGAAGGCTTTGCTGTTTCTCTGGACTCATGTCAACCACACACATTCGTTCATGACCTCACGCACTCAGGGCTTCCTCCACTCCCACAGTGGCCCCTGCTTAGTTCTTTGTATTGTGAATTGGCTGATATTTCATCTCTTTGACCTACATAAAAGCCAGCTTCGCATAGGTCAATCTATGTTAACTCTGTAAGGGTAAATCCAATAGCAGTGGAGTCCCTCTTTTTAGAAACCACATCTTTTGGGCTTTTTTTTTTTTAATTAAAGGCATTTCCCCCCTGAATAGTTTGTGTTTTCCAGTACCTAAAACACAGTACACACTTCTAATTATCTATCTATCTATCTATCTATCTATCTATCTATCTATCTATCTATCATCTATCTATCTATCTATCTATCTATCTATCTATCTATCTATCTATCTATCTATCTATCTATCATCTATCTCTAGCCACCCAGCCACCCAGCCACCCGCATACATTCACAGGATTGTAAAAGAAAAGCAGGGCTGGGGAGATGGT